CTGGCCTCATATTTCCTTAAATAATTCGCATCTTCTCTCTCTCTCTCTCTCCCCCCCTCTCTCTCTCTCTCTCTCTCTCTCTCTCTCTCTCTCTCTCTCTCTCTTATTGAAAACTCGGACTTTGTTCTAATCTTCGATACCTATGATATGACCTTATTGTGTTACAAGTGCCGTAAAACTCTTACTAAAACGAAAGCTAATATCTTTCGATTACTTTGCATGACGGCACCCTTTCGATTTCGACTTGTGGCTAAGTGTGTGCACACCCTATTACACTTTGGCGCTCTTTGTGAACTAAGCGTTGTACTACTGTGCGATACTACTGGGTGGTTGGCGGGTGCTCTGGTGTGGTTTGCTCGATCCTTCTTTCCTATCAGACATCTATCGTCTTTATCTCTCCTCCTTTTTTTGTGTGTTTTGTTACTCTCTTGTAACACCTCTAATCTTCTGGCGCTCATATGACCTTATTGTGTTACAAGTGCCGTAAAACTCTTACTAAAACTGAAGAAAAAAAAAGAATACCTAGAAACCGTGGAATTTGGGGCAAAAGTTGAACGTTCAGGTTCGACTCTCGGCTTGCATTGTCAGCATCACACACTTTCTGAACTTTGCTTCGTGAGATGGCGGGTGGTTGGAGGGTGTCACTAGTATAGGTTCTACTTCTTTATTTTCCCTCTTTTGTTTCTGGCTCTGTGAGTGGGGTTGTTTTTTTTTTTTTGGGGGGGGGGGGGGCACTAGTAATACATTTGGTCGCTTTTTAGCACAAGGGGGCTATCCCGAAGAATAAATCGAAGGTAAAATGTTTGTCCCTTGTTATGTTTCTTTAAAAGACAAGAAGATTTTTCTCTATAACCAAAGAAACACACACACCAATGAAACCAAACTTCTCCTATAGGTAGGGCAATGCCCACTTTTGGTGTAGGTCAAGATTTCTGGAAACCCACGAATTCTGGGTTAGCCCGCTTGTCCTTAAAAGCGACCTTTTGTAGGTCCTACTTCTTGTCTTATCCTCTGTTGTTTTTGTCTATGGGGTTGGGTGGTTGGAGAGTGTCACTGGTAGGTCCTACTTCTTCACTTTATAGAGCTCTATGGCTCTCTATCGTGTGTTTTACTCATCCCAGTTGAACAGAGTTTTTTTTTGTCTTTCTCCAGATCCGTGAAGCTTTCTGACCCCTTTGCCATTTGCCCTTTGCAAGTTCAAGTTGGTCACCATGGCAACGACCAGAGGACAAGCGCTGAAGTCCGTGTGCAGACGTCTGCTGCAGAGACAAATGTCCAGGTCAGTGGAACTGCAGTGGTACTTGTTCTGAAAGAGAGTGTGTGTGTGTGTGTGTGT